AGACAGCACCTTTGCAATGATTTTGTACAAGCTAGTCACCAGACTAATAGGTCTAAAATCTTTTGGTTGAGATGCATCTTTCTTCTTTGGGACTAAAGCAATGAAAGTTGAGTTCAAGCCCGGATTTATTACACCCCTCCTGTGGAACTCCTCAAAAACTGATCTAAGATCATTCTCCAAAATATCCCAATAGTCCTAGTAAAAGGCCATTGTGAACCCATCTAGACCCGAAGCTTTTGTCCTTTCCATTGAGAATACTGCTTCCTTTACCTACATTAAAATCCCCTCCCACACACCAAGGTCCATCCCAGAGGCCTCTAATGTCACTTAATTCTTCCCATAATTTCTCCCTCTACCTATAGTCATTGGGACCATACACATTTGTTAGTACCCATTCATACCCATCGTCCACCTGTCTTAAATTTAGGGAGACAGAATGATCTCCAATAGCTCCTCCACACCTATGAGTAAATCTTCTTTCCACAAGGTCACAATCCCTCCTGAGGAACCCCACGAGAGAGCAGCCACCCACTTTATACCCCTAGAACTCCACACACTCCTTGCCCATCTGCAATCAAAATCCATTCTTTTGGACTCTTGAAGCATTATCACATCCGCATTAAACTTCTTAATTACCTCTTTAATTGTCGCTCTCTTCCTAATGTTGCCCAACCCCCTCACATTCCAACTTAGGATTCTCATTGAAAATTCTTAGCCTTAACCCTAACTCCTCCAAGATCTATTTAGACCCTTTTCTTCTATCCCCTTTCACTTCAAACTTTTTGTCCCCCTCAATATCTCTATTTAATCTCTCCACTTCACTCAGCTTTCTATTCTTCATCTTGTTGTCCTCTTTTTTTTGCATGTAGGCTTTTAGATCATTCGGGTTCTTCAGCTTGCACCCCAACTTTTTCTCAAACTCTACAACTGACTCTTCCCCACTAGGGAAGGGCTCAGCTAAATTTGGGTTAAGATCATTCACCCACTCCTCCCCCTCCTCCTTTCCCTCCCCCACCGAATCCCCTACGAACAAACAATCCAGGCTGAAAGAATCCCTGTTCTGTTCTTCAAATAGAGCTTCGTCTGCCGCACTACCTAAACTCCCACAGGCTTCCAATTTATCATCATAGTCAAAATCTAAGCCACATCTTATACAACCTTGGTCAGCCTCTTCATTCTCTGTTGTTCTAACTCTTAAATAGTGCAGGTTCGAGCGATCAGGAACATTGTGTTTTTGCACGTCGCCGGCTATCCATCGGACCCAGCACAGAGAACGACGTCCTTCTGCCTTGCTCACCATCTGAGCCCCTCCACAGTCGAGAGGGCAAGACCTAGACGATGATAGATGAATGTTGCCATCTATCATCGCCCCATGCCTGCCCCGCCCCACGTGATGACTTAAGTTGTCACGTGGGCTTTTAAAAAAACCACCCGATGCCTGCCTCGCCCCACGTGAAGGCTCACCCACTGACCCGTCCGCCCCAGCCTTCCTTAAAGCTGGTTCAGACAACGACTTTGAGCACAATCGAACCTTACCCATTTTAGCCACGTCAGCATAGGACAGGCCACCCTCTTTAAACAACCCAACTTCAAACAAATTTGAATTAGAAGCCTTAATAGGAAAGCTTCGAGACTTGGGGCACCCCCGCAATTGTTCCCCTTCCTCTGTAGTTCGTCCACACGCACCAGGCTTTCCCGCCAGCCCCTGAAGGCAATGTGTACACCAACCTGCAGACTCGCCAGCTCCTTCAACCTCTGTTCGTCTTCCCTAGAGTGAGGCTTCATCTTTTGAAGCTAACCAAACCTTGTACCAGGCATCTTTTGAGAGAACTTCGAAGGCGCACGACAAGTACTCTGTCTTGATCCCAGCAACCTTAAGTTCCACAGCTCACAAGTTTCTTAAGTTAACCTCCAACAGAACTCCACCCAACGCTCTGACAATTTTCCTTAGTATCTGATCATTCCAAAGGTTGAAAGGAAGACCGAGAAGTTTATCAAGAAGCTGCCGACTCTAGATTCAACTTCATTGCAAACTGGAGCCCAGTTTTGGACCCGAATCAAACTTCCCTCTACAAGGAATGTACTGAAATTCAGTTTCTTATCGCCAGTATCTAAAAAAGCTTTCTTTTCAGCAAAAGGCAACAACACTACATCTTCATCTAAGCCCAACCTCTCTGCAACTACTTCTAAAACCTTCCTCCAATCTTCTATTACCCTGTCTACCACTAGGACCATCCTCTTCTCCCAGTTCCCACTCCCTTCTTCCAAAGCTACTCGTTGGAGGACAGTCGAGCTAGACACCAAAACTTCAGGGTAATGCTTAAAGCAGGGCACCTGATTACACAGGACAGAAGGATTACAATCCTTCAAGCCAGGACTTCTTCCACTCTCCCTTCGACCTCCAGAAGAAAAGCCTGAAGATTAAAAGTGAAGGAAGCCCACCCTCTCCGCTTCTGGCCTTCCGGAATACACAGCACTTGCCTTTTGTTATTACCAAAGAGTTCAGTAACCATTATAAACCACCCATTTCCATTCCTCTTTAGCACAGTTTCGAACCTCTTACTCTCACAGGTCAACGAGTTTCTCCAACCTTCTTCCCGTAAAGAATTAACAGTTCCATCTACAAAACCTTTCAACCACACACATGCCTCCTCCGATAGGAGAATCGTCGCCCTGCTCCCTTCTTTGATTTTCAAGTGAACCTTCCCCTTTGTCCTTCCCTGCTCGAACATGAAAGATTTGGCTTCAATGATCAACTCCAATCTCCATATCCCCGCCAGCTTGAACTTCCTCTCCTCTCCCATGGTTTTTGGCTTTGCAAATAGATATCACTTACCTTCAAATAGAAAGATCTCACCATAAATCTTCCATCCCTGCTCTCTTTCCACCACAGACCATCTTCATAAGCAGTGGAAATCTGAATCTGCTCCAACCTATCCAGCAGCAAAACACATTCCTCCAGTTCTTGGTCGCGCAGGGGTCTTTTGAACTTAGGACTCCAAACCACCTTATCACCACTTACTTCATAGCATTGGGCCACAGAGACCTGATTGTACTGCTTCTTTCATAATAAGGTGACTCAAAGTTAGTAGTGGAATGGTTGCAAAAGGAAGACAATCTCCGAAACTAAATTTTTAATGTATCCCATTGATGTATCCTATTTTCCCCCTAACAGTGATGTAGAGTTTTATTCCCCTAGACCACTCAAGGTAGTCCAGACCATCAAAGGGAATAACAGCCATGGGGAAATTCATATTCATTCCCCCACTCACTCCATTGTGGCTCCCTGAAATCTCTGAAGTAGCAGAATTCTYAGAYGACATGGTAAACACAAAGTTTTTTTTTTATCTAAACTCTCAACTTAGGATCCCTCCTTATATCGACAAAAGCTCCACACACAACAATTCAAATCTGGACTTAATCTGAGCACAAAAAACAGCACCAATTTCTAAAGAACTATGACGAAACTGATTTTCTGATCTGCATGAAGAACAGTCCCAGCCTACTGGTTTTCCAGTAAGTTCCACCACAACATTAATCAATAAGAGAGATCCTAACACACATGAAATCAGTCTAACGAAAAGAGAAATCAGGTCATCTATGACCTACAGTCACCCTTTCACAGGTACAGGATCACACGATCCAACAAATAAAAGAGGTATAACCCTCACAAAAGTCTGCCGACATTCAATGGTTTGGATTCATTTGTTCACCACTTGGTACACGACCAAAGAAAGAAATAAAAGAAGAAAGAAAACTTTAGGGTTGTACCAGTTGCAGATCTGATTTGATCAGCCCAGATTCAGCAACTTGAAGAGAAAACTTGGTCGCCCAGATTCAACAGCCTTGCTCTGATACCATCTTGGCAATAAATCCAATTGAAATATGAGGAAGTAGAGAAGAGAAGGGAAGAAGAGAGAAGAGAAGAAGAAAGAAAGGAAAAGGTTTGGAGCAATGGAACAGTGCTGGCGGCACCAGCTTCTATTATATTATATAGGGCGGCAGAAATAAGAAGGGAAAAGACTCTTGTGCCCCTGCTGTAAGTGAGTACAATAACAGAAAATAAAAAAGCTTTAACTAGCCAAACAGACCCTAACACAAATAATTAAATTATTTTAACAGTCTCTTTGATTAATTTCTTTATCCACACTTGTCCATTAAAGTACAATAATCCTTTCTAACTAATCACTACAACCAGGTGTTGTTGCAGTGTGTAATTTACAATGAACGCCTTAGTTAACCCTTGCTCATATGTAGAATGACCTAGTGTTGCATTAAATGATTCAGGGAACATATCACATCGGATTGGCGAATGGTTTTTTTGTCAGCTTCTAACCAAACTCTCATCCTTTAACCAAGTTTGGGACCAGCAGTGCAAGACAAACTAGTAATGGTAAAGTTATTGGACTAATACATCATTTCTCAAAAAAATGCATGGTAAGAAATATAACAAGTAATGGTAATCCAACACCATGTCTTACTTGTGGGATCAGAAACTCAAGGAAACCCAATAAATTAATAGTTACCTTTTTTGGTCAATATACTAATAGCTACCATGAACCATTCTGTTCAAATAAATCATACATAAACTAGTTAGAAAAAAAAAAAAAAAAAAACAAAGATATGAACTTTGACCTGCATGGCTCGAATAGAAACCCCAATCAAGGACAACGGGTAGCTCACGATTTTAAACCCCATCTCCTCAAGTTCAACAGGATTTAGTATTGGTGTTTTTCCACCTCCTTCAAGCATATTGGCCTATGCAATAAACGAAAAGGATCATTAATATGTATCGTTTCTACAACATAAGTACCAAACTACTTCTATATTCTAAAAGTGTTGCAATTAGAAAAAGTTAATTAGGCTATCAAATTAAAAGAAAGGCAAAAAACCCACAAGTAACAGAAGAGAGACAATAGTTGTTTAACCCCTTTCCAAAGTTCCAACTGTACCCAAATCTTGCACTAATTTAACTGCAAGACCCCCATCAATGACAATGAATTTGCATAACTTAGTAGTAGTATTAAGGCATAAAGTAGATGGATGGATTTGTAGTCTTATCTTTCTTTAGCATTCACCTAAAATATAGGCATAGATTCTAATCCAACTCAGTTTTAGTTTTTTAGGTGATGTACTCAATCTAAATTGGATTGATTTTTATTTGTTCTGGATTCTTTTTCTAAGAAAATCTAAATAACTCCAGTTTCCTTTCTTTTTTTTATTTTTTGAAACATATAATCAGATGAACATCTGTTTGGAAGTTTTTATTTTATCCACAAGTAGTGTTGCGTGGACACCATGATAAAACAACATGCTCTTGGTTGGATCAAGTTGATCCTCTTCGGAATCAGAAGCGAAAAAGAATCTACCAAATCTGAAAGGAAGAAAAGGCCTAAAAAAGTCTTCTAGCCTCATTCCCATCTCACAAGAGGTTCATGGGAGAAAATTAGCAATACCCAATGGTGATGCCCACAGCTACCTCAGCCATCCTCTAGGGCATTTTGATCAATGTAACTAGTAGACAAAAACTCAATAAGTGAGATATATTTGAAAACTCTTTCTTTTTTTTTTCTTTTAGTGCCAGTTGCTAAATTTCCCTATCTGTTTTCAATTCTTAGATTGTTAACAGCTCCAAATTCAAAAGCAGATGTCTTCCATTAAACTGATGAAAATGTTGCTTTGATATGATTTTTTTACCACAAGATAAGATATAAATTCATAAGAAGCATGAAGAGATTGTAACATAAAAACACTAAAAGTTTATAACCAAAGATTCAAATATCCAGCACTCAAAAAAAAAGATTCAAATATTGATATGATACACCCGATAAGGGGCATAATGTATCAGTATTGGGTCACACCAATACGAGATACACTACAACTTACAGTATATCCACTGAGTTGTGTGTATTGGAGTTCGAATCTCCTGCTCACAAGAACCCTACCCACACCTGCCCACGCCTCACTGCAGTTGTACATTGAGAACATCTCCCGTACTTGCATGTTACCATTCATGGGAAGATGTTCCCAATGTACAGTTGTGGTGTCATATGGGTAGGTGCAGTCTGCACGATTTGAACTCAAGTTGAATGCCCAAAATTTAAATGCATCCTTAAACCACTGAGCCACCTTTCATCTTATGATGTAAATGAAATAAAGTAACTTTATTAACTTTAATGTTCACATGCAATCCAAAAAAATAACATATGTTTCAACAACTCTGTTAGAATAATGTTAAAATAATTTAGTTGCAGATGTTAGGGCCTGTTTGGCTAATTAAAGTGTTTTTTTATTTC